TAGATCCCATGATCAATTCATTTTGTAGCATTGACGTACCATACTGTAACTGAACTCTGTTTGTGATTAATGTAACGATATCCATTTCTCTTACTGTGTGCTCCATTGCCTGTTGCTGTTTTACTTACAACAAGAAAATCACAATCCAACTTTAACAGAGGCATTTCCATGACTATGGATTAGGTGGTTAGATGGAAACAGGGGCATGGAATGAGACCAGCTCTCACTCCAAAACTATTTTGACTTATTTCAATATAATAATAAAATTAGACCAAGTAAGTTGTCACACTTAAAATCAGTTCTTTAAAATATTAAGGCCCCCATCTGGCTCCTAAGCTCCCCTCCACCCATTAAAACGAGATCAAATAATTAATGCTATACACTGCTGATTACATGTAACAGGGCAAACATTTTCTTAAAAAAAAAAAAAGCAATATTGAATAGTACAGCACTATATGCCTGCATGACCAGTCTTACCGAATGTGCTCAGGGGTGAAAGTTTAGCACCATTTTTTTTCCTTTTTGCTTTTAAAAAAATCTTTACAATTTAAATTCTAACATAGAACACTAATAGTAATTTGTGTAGCCCTATAGTTCAATACTGTCTGAGAGCAGAGATGGATGGCATGACCAGAGCTTACCTTTCCCCTCCCGTTCTACAGTCTCTTTTCTATTGAGGGCACTGGTAACTACAATTCACTGTAATTTATAAGAAGGCTAATTTATTCTCAGTAATAGGAAATTGTGGAAAAGTCCCTTCTTATCTACTTTTCAGCATAGTTAGAAGGGAAAAAGTGGTAATCCAAATGAATGATCCCAGTGCAAAACTAAAAGCTAGGACAATATTGTGCATGGCTAGTGTATATTCCTCTTTTACCCCTCCCTTCTACAAGAATGTTCAGTATCAAATAAAACTATGTGATTTCTTCTCAAATATGTGAAGAGTGCTAGAAAAATACGCAGTTTGGAGGAATCCTAGATTCTTTTAAGTAGGCCTGTTGCAAAGAAGGTACTATACATTTGCCATCTTCTAGCCAGCAGTTTAAATGACAAATAATGTTCACCTCAATATATAAGCAATTCATGTTTACTTATACTTCTTTCCAGGGATGGGGCATTTGTTTAGCCTTAGAGACTTTGCTTTGAGATAGAAAGCATTTACTCCTTTCTTTCACAATGACAAGGTTAATTTGTTCAAAAGATATAGAGATTTGTATCCTGTGGTAAAAGGTAATTTTTTGGTTTCTACAAAAGCAACTGTTGTTCCATGTGGTGCACATATGGTATCATACTGCCGTTATGCTGAGTCCATCATCTGATTGTTCCTGTTTTTCAAGGTGATTATCATTTTTTTCAGAAATTCTGCATTCCATTTAATGCAGATTAATGCTACATTTTGTGGATTAATTTTGGGGATATTGTTGCTCTCATGATATCACTTAATGACTCACACAGGAGAACTGAGATAGTGAAAATTTTGAAAAGGTTTGTGTTTACTATTCAGTGTCCTGCATATTCAGTTAACAATAGGAAACTTGAAAATCTACAGGATATTAAAACTTGGATCCCAGTTAACTTATCTTGGTGGGTAAAGAACATTCTTTAGGTTCCAATTCTAAGTACACTTATCCGGAAGCAAATAATGTAAACCAATTTGTTTTACTTCCAATTATATTATTTAGGGCTGAAGCATCAGTGCAGCAAGAACACACCCAGATCTGATAACCCACTTAAGCTAACATTTAATGTGTTTATTACCTAAATATTAGTGCCACGCTAGCAAAAAAAAAAGCTGCCTGTTAAAAACACAGGCCTCATGGAATATTTTCAATAATAAAAATCTACACTCCTTTTTATTACAATAAGGATAGCTTTGTGGGAAAAGATCTGCCCCAATTCAATTGAAAATCCTACTGCCTGTACTTTAAGTTAGACACCCAAAAGAAACCCAAAGATTATACTTTTGGGATACAAGGAAACCTATGCTACTTCCATACACAACCCATAGTGCTTCACCTTCTTGCATGCAGTATCTTATCTAATGTAAGCTACTTTCTTTTTGTGTCAAAGATAAAAGTAGCTAGATGTATAAATTGAAACCTTCTGGATATGAAGAGGCAATGCTTTTTATCTGCAGTAAATTTTATTTTACCTTTTAAATCTTTGATTAATTGCCATCTTCTGAAGGAGGAGAACTTCCAGACATACCATCCTTATAACAAGTCATAACATGTTTGCCTGGGACATGTTAGGACTACTTAGCTTATGGCAGATAAATATTAGAGATAAAAAAAGAAAATACAAATAACCTAAAAATCTTTTGTTGGACTCCGTTGCCAGACTGCCAGAAGAAATCTCCTACTTGATCGGGGGGCATTGTAATTAACAATTCAAATGAACACAGTGCAATTTAACACAGAGACAGAGCAATCTGAAGTGGTACTGCCATTCCTCAAGGTTTTCTCTATCCAATGGCAATGGTCCCAGGTACTCAGTCCAAATGAACCCTCATTCTGAAGAACGAAGTAAGCTTGGGCCTCTGAAATTCAGTTGCACTCACTTGGTAGCCCCCACCACCCATAATCAATTGGAAGGCAGACTTGGCAACGGAAGCTAGCATCATAAAATGGTGCAGTAATAGAAGTAACTGGACCAGGAAGAGGAGGCATCTGCTCCAATGATGTCATAGCTGGCAGCTGGGGGGCGGGACTGGTCATGCAGCTTTGTGTCAGGAGTAATGATTGTAGAGGGGTGGGGCATGAAGAGTGCCATTTTGAAAACAATGCTGACGAGAAGCCATGTATTCTGCATAACTGATTGTCACCTTCTCACTGCGGTATCTGAAAGAAAAAATGTTGAGTTTTTAAAAATACTTCTATAAATAAAACAAATGGATCAAATCAGCCATAGTTGAAACTGAAATCCTATACAAATATTTGTTGATGCAATTACCCATTAAAATTTGTATCAATACAGTTCCTTTACAGTAGGCTTCCTCAACCCAGATATAAGCATGGGAATTATGGAAGCTGAAATCCAATATATTGAGGCAATATCAATTTGTGGGGAAAGGCTTTTTAAACTGTTAAATTAAATTAAATACTCCAATACCATGGAAAGACCAATATTCCAATAGAAAGTGGTACATTATCGTTATCCTTTTTCTATAGCAATGGGATATCCTTCCACTCACTCTGGAAGCAGAACTGGAAAAGGTTTTGAAGTTTATTTATTTATTTATTTATATTTCAAGTTTAGTCACCGCCCATCTCACTCAAATGCGACTCTGGGCAGTTGTTTCCGGTGAGAGGAGATATTTCCTTTCAAGTTTTGGAAAGACAAGCCAAAAAGCACAAGGGATATGAAAATGTGATATATATAAAAACAAGGGAGAGATATATTAGGCCATGCATATTTCAATACAAATATGTATGGATCCACAGTATGTATTCCCCTCCTTTTTGCCTTGCTGGACTGGATACTCTGTCTCCAATACTGAAAAATATTCATAGAATAAATCCAGTGTACCATTTTCTGACAGCAGAAGCAGGCAAGTCTACAGTGGGACATTCCAGAGGTGTCCCTGACAGTAGGATCCTAGTCCTTGTTAAGAACTAATGGAGGTTTTAGCTGAGGTACACCTTAAGCTTATAATATTTTATAAAGGAGGACATAGAGATCTATGTGAAAACCCTACAGATGTCTTCCAGGGCAGGGGCATTAATGACAGGGGTGGCTGGCCAATAACTAACCAAATAAAAACAATAACCAAGTCAAAGAGAAACATACTATGACAACCAACAAAATCAGCAGCCAGTCCACTTCAGTTCAATGAACTTCCCAACCCCCATGCCTGGGAAAATATACAGGTTTTAATGGCTTTCCAAAAGGCCAACAGAATTGGGGCTAACCTAACGTTGGGTGGTATAGTGTTTCAAAGGGGAAATGCTGTGACAGAAAAGGGTCCCACAAGATGACATTCTCTAATCAATGGGACCTGGAGCATGTCCCTCCTGATGGGATGGGTAATAACAATTGGAGAAAGGTGATCCCTCAAATAACTCGGCCTCATTCCATGAAGGGCTTTGTAGATGACAGCCAGCACCTTGAATTGCATCTGACGCCTACCAGGAGCCATGCAGCTCACAAAGCAAAGGTGTAACATCAGTGTATCTAGTTCTACCCATCATTGCTCATACTGCCGCTGCATTCCGGACCAATTACAGCTTCAAGGGCAACCCCTTCTAGTTTGTGCCAATCCTAACTGGGTTTTGAGATTGGCGCTGAAGGAAGAGAGGGCCACTTCCTGACTCTACTTTAAGATCAAATTCATCTTAGTGGTGAAGGGAGGGTCTACACACAGAGTAATGTGTCTAGCTGGATGATGCAGAACTCCTTCTTTTTGAAGAACACTCCTATCTGATATCTGTCTAGCCAAAGTTATGGCAGTTAAGAATGCCACTTTCCTCTCAGGTGCTCCAAGACTGACTCATGCAAGTGTTCAAATGGGGCCCAGGTCAGGGCTTGAAGTATTAGTGAAGGCCTCATAATGAACATGAGTGATAGTGGCTCGTCTTAGGAATCTCCTGATGTGAGGATGGGCTGAGAGAGGACCAGTGCTCTTTGGTGATAGGACACAGGAGGGGACTACTGTTTGTCTTTGGAAGGTGTTTGTTGTAGTCCCTTGCAGAAGTCCACTGACTTAAGTTGTGAGATTCCATTCCTTTTGGCCTCTTTGCAGAATGTTTGCCATTTGAGCTTGTACATGCAAGTGGTAGAAGCTGTTCAGGATGATCTGGATGGATTTATTATTGTATTCTAGGCTGGTGGCAGTCTTGCTCAATCTCCAGGAATGTAATTGCAATAACTGAGGTCCAGATGTTTGACTCATACTTGAATCAGTAGGTCTTGTGATTCAGGAAGGCTCCATGCTTGAGATGTCAAAAGATTGACCAGGGCTGAGTACTAGAATCTCCTGGGTTCATGGGGTGCTATTATTATCAGCTCTGCTCTCACATAATCTCAGGAGGCTGGGGATCAGTGGGAATGAGGGAAGGTGTGTAGCTATAGGCTGTGTGCTGATTGGAGGATGCTTTGTTGATCAGAAAGACTAGGTCCTCAAGGGTCTGCATTATGATCCGAATGTTCTTTTTTCTCTGCTTGATTGATGGCGATTGGGTCAGCAGGGTGTCTGATTGGGGTACACATAATATTCCCTGGGATCTGAAGTGGGCAATAACACCATCACTTTTGTGAACATTCTGGAAGCTGACAGGCTAAATGGAAGGGCCTTGAATTGGTAGTATCCCTGGCATTTGAACCTCAAGAATTATATGTGGATGAGTGCACTGAAATGTGTAGTTAGGCTTCCTGTAAGTCCAGTGAGGCCAGAGCATCTTTTTTTGGAGAGATTTTATGATGGATGTCAGGGTTTCCAACTAGAATGTGTGATACATGGTGTTGTGATTCATTCACTTCAGTTGTAAGATGGCAGGGCAATTCTTGGGCACAATGAAGAAAATGGAATATAAGCTGAAGAATCTCTCATCCAGTGAGACCTACTCATTTTCCTGTATGCAAGAAATGGATGTTTTGGCACTATGTGATCTGGGGGATGGGTTGAAGTACTCTCAGGATAGTGAAATTTATGAGGTATCATTTTTAAGATCCATATGTCACATTACCTAATTCCACAAATAGATGAATTCCATTAGCCTCCCAGCCATTCAGAGGCTGAGATGATTATCACTGGGTAGAGCCTGAGTCCAGTAAGGAATCTGTGGGAGTTGGAGGTTTTGGTTCCTTGAGGCCAGGGACTTGCCAACTTTCCTGAGAAGGTGAAGAAAGTCTGATATTTGGTATAGCCTGGTAGATTTGGGGATTTGTTACTGGTCTTCTTTTTCATCCATCCTATTTGATGGTCCCGAGGGTATCTGAGCTTTTTGTTACAGGGCGTGGGAACTGGTATCCCTCATTTGCTTGGCTGTCTGGCTTGTTTCCCAGTGAAGGCAACTCTGGCCTTAGCTGTTCTACCAAGGACTCAGAAAGAATTCTGACAGGAGGGATGAGGAGCAGTCCAGTTTTCCTCTCCGCCTTTTTGCCCCCATGGCTCAGTCCAGTTGGGAAGCCCAACTGCCTCTGAAGGGATGGTTAGCCACTGGTATGTGCCTGATTCAATGAGGCTGCAGCCTGCCTGGGAATGCTTTGGACTTTCCCATGAGCATTTGGAAACATCAGGTTGCATGGGTGGGGGTGGGGACTTTGGAGTGAGAAATTATCTGGCTGAACTAGTTGGGAAGGTTGGAGGTGATTGCTGCCTTGGTGAAGGGATTGTGGGACTGGGTAATCAGTGTAGCCAGCTAACATTCCCTCTGGTGCTTAGGCCAACTGGCTCCCGGGGTGCAGTCACTAGTCACTGACTGTTGGCCAGCACCTCTGGGGACAGTGCAATGGGGAAATGAGAGAGCAAGTTGGTGTGCCACTGGAGGTTGGACTTCAGGCTTGGTCCTAGCTGTTGGAGAAGTCCTCTGATATATCCACAGACAGCAAATTGCTATTCATGTGTGTGGTAGGCATGATGGGAGGTCTGTTAAGTTTACTGGAGCTAAGTAAAAAGAAAAAGAAAAGGACCAGTTGAAAAGGAGGGGAAAAACGGTAAAGATTGTTGCAATTTAGGGAGTTCTTGGTAGAGCTGAGAGATCCATGTGCTCTCTGGAGAGAAACAGGGCCTGAACTGGGAAGGAATTATCTCCTCCCACTCCTCCCAACATCAAAATATTTTCCAGCCCATAATAATTTCCAATTTAATGTAGATGCATACTTGATAAGGGCAACATCATAGAAGGAACCTTTCAACTATAGTTGAACAGTTTTAGTATTTGTTCTTCCATCTTTCTCTTTGTGATTGCTTCCTTTTTAGTTCAGCTAAATCCACTAATGGCAGTATTCAACAATAGTACTGAACAACAGATGCAATCAACTTGTTCTTTTCATTAGGATGGCAAGTGTGCTTACTACTGCTGTCTGTCATTCCACTCACTACTGGATCCAAAATGTAAACATGTCGAGAAGGAATTGCTGATGTGGGTAAAAAAGTGAAGTAGTACCAGGATATATGTACAGAAATTATGAATAGAGAAAAAGAACACTTGGTAATCAAGTGAACCTGGGTGTGGGCAGCAAAAAGGGCATACTGTACACAATGCATAGTTAAACTGTAAAATTAACTGCCAAGAAATGTGATAGATGTGATGATGGACTCCAATTTAGAAAATCTGAAATAGGAACTAGATAAATGTATGGACTATCAATGATTATGAATATTAATGCTGTATTCTACCTCAAGAAGCAAAGATAGCTAACTTAAATACCTGTAACAAAGGAGCAAAAGTGGAAAAGGATTTTTAGAATTTATGAAACTAAGCATTTTATTTTAATTTTATTAAAATAAAGTGTCTCATATGCCCAATATTACCATACTTTACTTCTAGAGATACCAAGGCCTAAATATTTCCCTAATGTTTCCATTTTACAGTCTTTTTTCAATTTTTCAACTGGTAATTTTTGAGAAAACAGGTCTTCTGTTTTGGAATGGGTGGACCAAAGATCCCACTAATTCAGTCAATATTTTAATACTGTTAAAGCAGTAAAATAACCCTTAAAAGACTGCACAGATTTTACTTTCTCAAAATTTCATTTTTTTCTGAAATTCCTCTGTAGATATTAAAAAAGCATAAAAAATGTAAAATAAATTCTAATAATTCCAGATTGTTGGCTCTGCAATTTGGGGAAGGATGGGGGGTGGAGGGTGGGAAACTATAGGATCAGGAACATCTAATTTAAAATTCAAAACCTTGCATGGAAAAAAGTAATTTCCACAAATATGCTCTTCCAATTAGAAACAGAAGCAGTAATAATATTGATACAAAAATTACAAGAAAGTTTACCTGGTGAGTTTAATAGTTTTCCTAAAGTCATTGGTAATTGGAGCCTTAAAACCACCTTTCCTGAGCAAGGAGTCTATTGTTTGAATCTGATCCCAATCTGTTTGAAAATGACACCAGCAGAATTATAAACACAGGCTTATTTAAGAAAAGGAGATAGCCTCTTAAAAGAAAGTTCAAGTTATTCAGATTATTGAACAGCTGCAGATAAACAGAATATTAACTGTAAATATTGACTACTGTATGATTAAAATTTCATAATACTTATTTCAATTGTAAACAACCAAAATTATCACTTCTAATATTACAGGGATTCATACTATTTTATTTATATATAGGAACAAATCTAGTCATGCTTTCAAAATGAAACATAGCTATAATTTAAAAATTTAAATCTGCTAAATTTCCCTGTAAGGTATAAATTACACTTTGGTCTTTTCATGCATTTCCAGGAAGAGAAAATGTGATTATTTGCATGTTGGAATAAATAATATGAGGAATTATATAGTGTTTTGAGCAATTACAATTATGTTCTTATCTGTTTATATTTCAGGGCAGAACTTCAAAATCAATCAGTGACTTAAACCATGATCTGTTTTCACTTTGTGACTGGTGATATTTGAAAGCCCAAACAATTATGAATAAGACAACATTTAAAACATGATTGCAACCTTGAGTTCCTAAACAAAAGTTAGAATATAAATTGAACAAATAAAATGAACATCCATCTTAAAAAAATCACCACACCAGTGTGTGGTGATTTTTTAAAGACAGATAATTTATTTTTATTTTATATTACTATTACTTTTATTTATATAACATATTACTAACATTGGATATTTTGAGCCATTTAAAGATCAAAGCCTCTGAATAATTCAGCCAAAGATGATGAATGGTTTTAGGTAACTTTCACAGCAGCTATGTAAGCCATCTCCATTATTTATATCCTTACATTTTCACAGGTTTTACTCAATATAGAATTTCATTTTATTTCAAACTCACCTTGTTCCTTAGCAACTTCAGGTAAGTATGTAGCTGTGCGCTTGACACCTTTCTCATTGATGAACTCAATTCTGATTCCATGGATTCCGACCTAAAAATTGAAGTATTAAGTCAGCTGAGATGTATTTTCTGGGACAAAATACAAAGGGTTTACCCTTGCCATGGATATTATCCAAGGATCAACCTGGAAAAAAGCCTTGCCTTGCCTCCAATTCTTGAATTCATCCTTTCTGGCCCTGAAAACAGGTTCTCAAGGTGGTTTTTGATTGCTATTTATTACCTAAGGGTAAAAGGTGACTGACTGGTTCTTTGTGCTCTCTGTGGTATTCTTAATAACTGTTTCCAAATCCCTAATTTAAATGTATCTATTTCTTTTTTTTCTACAGGGTCCAATGCTTTAATTGTAATTTTGGTTGTCACAGACAAGATCATAAAGGATATGGATATTTCTAAATTTGTCTTACTCATTAGAACTGTTTTCCTTTTTATTTTGTCAGTGCAATGTCCATCTTTATTCCTTAGCTTAAGAAAACAAAGCTGTGTATCACCCTTTAACATGAACTTTGCCTTTTCATTTTCATAATGAGCTCTTCTCTCTTCTTTACTTTCAGCTAACAAGATGATGTATTTTGCATATCACAATTGGTTAGTGTTTTGACTTCTAACATTTATTTCAGCTGCTATTTCATTGAATCCTTCCATTCTTATAGTATATTTGCTGTTTTTGCTAAACAGATATGGGAACAATATTCATCCCTATCTCACTCACTTTCCTATTCTGAACCATTCTGTTTCTCCAATCTGAGTTCTTCCAGCACCTTCTCCTAGGAACTTGGCATACTTTAGTCCTATAGCCCTATCAGCTCACATGTAGATTACTCTTAGCTTCATCTCTCCCATTTTGATTTTACTGGCATGGATGTCCTTACCAGGAATCCATGTTTTTGTTGGCATCATTCTCAAGTTCACTGAAGCTACTGAGTCCTGCCATCGTATCAAGATAGTAATCATCTGGGAGGGACTGAAGTAATTTATTCAGTAATTCACCTTTAAATCTCCCCTCTTTTCAAATCTCATTCTTTAAATTCTATCACTGTAATTTATCTTTACAGTAAAGTAGACACAGTACAACATACTGATCTGAATCCAAATGGCATGAGACAGTGATATAAAGTTACAGATTCTCAGCTTTACCTCCCAGTCCAAGTAGTCAGTGGCATCCTCGAAATTAGTGAGGAGGGAAACAGAGCAGAAAAGTTTAGGCAGCTCCTCACGAGTCAGGGGTGGAAATCTGCTGTCCTTAAGTGCACTACAGTGGAAAGAGGACATACCCACAAACATATATATAACAGCCCGTTAAAATGTAATTTGGATGTTTTGCTACATTCAAAGCATTTTTAGCCAAATTTAAGAAAAATTACATCACTTTAGGACAGAACAGATTTATACATACTACAAGCAGTACTAAATAAACACTAAAGAAAGCACTAGGCAAATAAAAGCTAGAGCTATGCAATTTGAACCATGCTTTCATAATGCTTCTGCAAAATGCTCAAGTCTTTCACACCTCCAGTGCGGGTACCCAATTACAAAGGCTCCTGCCTTAGTCATGAATATTTTTTTTAACCCTGAAAATATTATTATTCATGAGAAGAATTTTCTCTTATTCAATAGAAAGAGCTGGTGGCTATCTTTGTGGCAGAGCTGCTTTACAAACTACTATAAGCTTGTTGTGAATCCTATTTGGAAGCTTTTTCAAGGTGGAAATCTGACCTGAAACCTCACAATGGACAATTATCATGTACGTATCACATTGTACAATCATCAAAACATTAAAGTAATATACTTCATATCAAGATTACTATTTTACAAGCTTTTTAAAGTCAAAAATAGAAGAAAGCAATGTACTGATTATCTGATAGCTGAAGCATAATATGAAAAATGATTTCTAAGATAATATTTCTTCAGTGTTAACTATATTGAGACTAGAGCCAGTATGGTCTAGTGGTTAAGGCACCAGGCTAGAAAGCAGGAGGCTGTGAGTTCTAGTCCCACCTTAGGCA